ATCTGGACCTCTAAAATGCCTCAGCCTGACAGCCTGGATCTCCATTGCTGAGCCTCCGTTTCAGTCATTTGATGAAAAACTCAGCATCTGTACATCAGCAGGACAGTTATGAGTACCAGCAGGGTGGTAAATGGCACCAGGAGGACAGCCATATACAGGAGCCACGGCTCTGGAAACACCACCACACCTGGCTCTGAAAAACACAAAATCACTGATATGAAGTGTAATCCTAAAATCAAATCACACATTGATACAGAGTTGGATTTTTATGATCATTTCTCAAGTTATAGCAAATTACAATCAAAGGGAAAGTTCATCCAAAATGAAAACACTATCTATCTGCATTACTAGGTCTACAAGTGTATCTTTGTAATGTGTGTGAGTTGACCATTTAAGAACAAAAACAAACAAAACAAAAACATTTTTCCAGCAGAAAGAGAGCGCTTGATGCTGTTTAGGATGAACTCACCGGGGACAGTTGATGGACACATTCGTGAAACATTTTTTTCACCACCTTCACCATCTCTAGCCACTAGGGACAAAAGATCGCACAAGAGTTCACTTGAATGTTGACATATTGCAGGATGAAGAATTGGCCAGTGAAGCTATAAAATCATATTCACTGATGTTTATATGCACAAAGCTTTTTCTAGCTAGAAGAGATTAGCTTTTCTCTAGAAGTGGGCAGATAAACAGGAGACAACTTGAATGATGTGGGAACCACTTGCAGCAAAGATGTCAGGAGATGATGTTGAAGATTGTGTGGGAGCCTGAAGAATAGGTAGGCTAAGACAGGATGAAGATTTGCAATAACAGGGTGAAGAGAATGTTTCTAACCATGATGTTAATGGAAACATTTGTGTTATTTTACCATCAGCAGTAGGACTAAAGAGTCATGTATCAAAGAAAGCCACTTGGCGCTTTGATATAGCTTGAACACGCCCTCTTTATACATATATATATGCCTTCAGGACACTGTATTATCTCTGGTGAAGGCAAATAATTTAGGTAATTGACAACAAAGTACTCGACATACTTATCCACTAACTGTAAAGATAGTCAAGGCCGAAATAATCAGAGCCAGAACGAAGAAAAGAAACAAACATGAGGAAGAAGTTAAGACAAGATATATAAGACAGGAAGCTAAGGAGAACAAGTCGGCCAGGAAGCATGAGGAATATTGCTTGTGTAAAGACAAGATGAGGTTTTTGACCTTTGTGGCAAGAGAACTGAGATAATCAGATACGGCAAGGAGATTTCTGGATGTTGTGTGTGCTTCTGGAAAATATGTCTAGCAGTTTTGAGAGAAGCTTTTAGGCTCTCAAACAACCAGGAAACAGACATTTTACATTAGAACGGGAAATAGATGGGAAAGGCTTGTCATTATTAATATTAGTATTAGTATTATTTTATATATTAAGTAGAGACTTTAAGGTTAAACCAGTAGGTGGCAGTATTGCAAATTGTGGATGCCAACCACCATAAAAAAACATAAAGAAGAAGAAGCCAACAACGACGACGACCAAGAAGAAGAATAATAACGTCAGGACTACAAATAAAAGGGTAGTGCCTGAGAGTGGAGATACAGTGGAGGGGAGAACAGTGATATTTCGATTTCTGAAAATGACAGGACTTATCAGAGAACTGTAGAAATTTAGGATAGCAGATGTGGGATTAAACCAGGAGGAGGCAGTAATGCAAGTTGAAGTAAGCCAACTGCCCTAAAACACCAAAGAAGAAGAAGGAGATGATGGAACATTTCAACAGGAAACAATATGGCGGCCGACAACGGCTTGTGACCTATGCTTGTAACGAACGTCACCGATTACAGGTCAAGGTAAGCTAAAATATGTTTCTGAAAACATTTCAGGCGAGAAATACGCTGCAGTAACAGAATATTGCTTCATATTTTATCAGCACTGCTAATTAAATTTACAATTGAAGTATTCTTAGCCTCCGTTTTTACAATACAGTAAAGAGAGTGGCTTATGCATCTTGTTCACGGATTTTCGGTTAACAATCAAACAGCGCACTAAAATATGTTTCTGAAAATATTTGACAGGATTCCCACGGTCATGGAAAACCTGGAAAAGTCGCTGAATATCACAATTTTTTTTCCCAGCCTTTAAAAGTCATGGAATTAGTAAAAAAATATTGAAAGTTTAGAAAAAGTCATGGATTTTTTGTGTGTAGCCTACTGAAATTGTTGCTGTAATTTTACGGGAATATCCTTTGACTGTAATGTAACATAACAACGTAAGGCCTATTTTCTGTAGATTTTCAAAGTATGGTAGCTCTCATATGTGTCAGTGTGACAAGGTGTCACATTTCTTCACTTTCTCCCCACGTTTTATGTCAGCTAGTAGAAGTTAGGTTTGAATAGAGTTTGAATTTGTCCTGTTTAAAAATGCTAGGCAAGTTTGGCAAAATGGGTCTTGGAAAAGTCATGGAAAACTTTTGAAATTTTGACCGTGAAAATGTGTGGGAATCCTGATTTTAAGAAGAGAAACAGGCAATACAGTAACAGAATCTTGGTTGCACAGTTTTACAGTGTGATTCACAAAGCTTTCTAGTACAAAGAGTTGCTCCTCAGACAAAATTATAAGAAAAAGTTATTCACAAAGCTTCTTAGCCCTTAAGAGTGCTCCTTAGGTGAAAAACCATTAGGAGTCGGGAGGAGGATTTTGGAGAGGCCTTAGACTTTCTTAAACAGAGGAGAAAATGGTGGAAACACAAGGAGGTTGGAGAACTATTATCCAACCAATGAATGACAGTGAGGAAATTAGAGATTATATTGTGCAGGAGTAATGTTTGTAGTTGATCTCACGAGGGATACACATTTTCCGCCCAACCCAATAACACTATGACACCAGAAACAAAAATGATCACAACAATAAGATACTCGGAAAACTGGAAAAATGCAACACTCCAGCATTGATGACTTGTTTGCCTCAACCTTTTATCTTCCCTTAAGATCTGGTATCAATTTTGGCGCCACTTTACGTTTTCCTCCATCTCAACGTTAAGTCCATTGCAAACAATCATCTATTCCCCCCTTCTACCTTAGACTCCACCTTCTCCCTGTGGGAAAAGGAAAGGAATCACATGTTTTCGTGATCTCTACCAGGACGATATTTTCTCTATGTTTTCATCCCTATCAACCAAATATGATCTGCCACGCTCACATTACTTTCGTTACCTTCAGATTCGACACTATTTATCCTCTCAGTTCTCTTCATTCCCCTCACTTCCTGCCTTATCGCCATGGGAGGAACTACTTAAACTTCCAATAGATCAGAAATCTCTTACATCCCGGATCTACTCTTCAATCATGTCCTTTGATAAGAAAACTGCCTTCAAAATAAAACTGGCCTGGGAGGAGGAAATCGGGGTCAAGCTCTCGGATGAATATTGGGCTGGGGCAATGGAAAGGATTAGCACCACCACCTCGTGTGCACGGCTGGGTGTCATACATTTTAAGGTGCTATACAGGCTTCATTATTCTAAAGCTAAACTAGCAGAAATTTATCAGAGTGCAGACAATAGATGTGATAGATGTAGCCATACCCCTGCAAACCTTAGTTATTTGTTTTTCTTTTGTCCTAAATTGCAATCATTTTGGGGTGTCTTTTTTAAAATCCTTTCTGACATCTTAAAAATTAAATTGCAACTAGATCCTTTGACCGCCATATTTGGAGTTCCTGAACTTTTTGCCAATTTATATACCAACCATTTAGATATCATAGCGTTTTCCTCTCTCATTGCTCGAAGGAGGATTTTACTGTCCTGGAAATCACCTGTTCCCCCATCAGCAGCATCTTGGCTAGAGGATATGTTGTCTTTTCTCAAGTTAGAGAAAATTAAGTTCTCTCTCAGAGGCTCTGCTGAAAAATTTACTGCCAGATGGCAACCCTTTTTGTCTTATGTAAACAGCCTCCATAGACTCCCAACTGAGCAGATATAATCGCCTCTTTTATTATTACTTATTTATTGTTATTATTTACTTTATTTTATTTATTTTTGTTGTTTGTTTTGTTTTCCTTTTTTTTCTTTTTTTTGTGGGGTGGGTGGCAGGGTAGGGTAAGTGATGGGAGGGTGGGCGGGCATGATGGGGTGGGGTTGGGTTTGTATGCTTGGCTAGTGTGACCGTCAGATGGAAGGCTTGGGGTTGGAAATGACTGCTTCTGTTTCTTGTTTTATGAGTCCCCGCCTCCGGTGTTATGGAGGTTGGCAACTGAAAAAGTGACATACTAACCCCATTATGAATAATAATATTAATATTATTTTGAATAATATCCTGTGTCACGCCAATTTTCTGTTGAGTTGTATGTCATGTGTCATATGTTTGTACACGCCCTTTTTTTATATATATGTGGGGAAAAAAATCAATAAAAAACTGTAACATGTTTGCCTCAACCTTCCATCAGAAGAGTGATCACACAATCAGTGAGAACATTTTCACAGTCTCATAATTAGTTCAGGTCATTTCAGGTGTCTCTGACAAGTCACACCTAGCAATTGGGTCAACCACACCTCCCCACTAAGGTAAACATTTCTGTCCCTTCCTTGCTCAGAGTTGCTCTGAGAACTTTCCTAAATCACTCATTCTAGGACTCCTTCCTTAAAGATTTTAGTCTAAGTTAGGAGCTCTCTGAGAGTATTCTCAGAATGTTTCTGAATACGGCCCCTGAGTGTTGTCTTAGTTTTGTTTATCATAGTCTGTTTACGCATTCCCACATTGTTATGATACTAGTTTAAAATCAGCAAAAGTATGCCTTTGAGACCTTGTGTTAGCTTGAATACTCCCCTATCATGTATTCAAGAGATGTGTTTTGCATTTAGTAATTTCTCTGGTAAAAGCCAAAACTGCCATTGCATCGAAAACAGTTACTAGGACAGAAGTCAGCTGACAATAAAATTACTCTATACTTGTTGACCAACAATAGGTTCACATTTTTTCAAGTTTGTCTGTCTTAAAACAGTAGTGGTTAATGCTCAGTACAGATCAGCAGGTATGTAATGTGTGCATGAAAACTAGATCAGATCAAGAGGGAGATTATTACCAGGAGGATGGTACAGGAAGATGCTTTTTGTTATCAGGACTTTGTTCAGCTGCAGCTGACACTCATATTCTCCTTTGCTTCCCAGAGAAACGGTCTCAGAGAGTGTGGTGAAGGGCAGAGCAGCACCAGCATCTCCTGGAGCAGAGTCAACAGGTTGGAGTTTGCAGCCATTGTGAGAAATGGACAAAAGAAGTCCGGCATCCCGGGTCACGTTTACTTCACACGAGAGCAGAGAGTCATTGTGACTGGTGAGGTTAAACATCATGGTTTCTGGAAAGAGATGCAGGCAGATACACAGGTATGTACACAGCATGTGGAGGCACACAGAGCCTGTTTATACCTGGTATTAAAATGCATTTTGCTGATCTGTACACAAGTGTAGAGCTGAGACACATCACCAATCACACTTGTGTCTGTCATGGGTCTTCAGCTGACTGCTTGTGCTCAGATTTTGTCACTGCCTGCGTCACTAAGGCTAAAGGGTAAAGGGGTCCGGTGCACAGTTATAACGTCCACACTCTCCCTAGCTGCTCAATAGCATGCTCGCTAGTCACATTAGCGGTTGTGTCAGTGCAGCTGGAGATATTGCTGTCTGCAGAATCAAACACATCTACTTCCTTAGGGCAAAAAAATGATACTTTGTCCAACTCACCATAAAATGGATAAGTTATAAAGCATTAACATGCTGTCACCAAAACAACCACCTCGTCTTGCGTTGATGACGTAGTCTTTGTTGGAGACACATCAGGATGCATTAGCATTTACTTTGCAGAAGATATGTGGTCAAATGTATCTCAGATCACCTTTGCGTGTGATTTTAGTGATTGGATCGCAATGCGTCTTGGTGGTCATTTACACTGGCATTTAGCGATGTTCTCTTGTGATCGGAGCACCTAATACTTATGTTAATACCAGTAACAACAGTCTCACAGACACTTGTATTGCAGGTTTTGTCTATTTTCATTAAGTTGTTCCCTAACCGCTAAACTCAGAGTCCCCGCCATGCACAGCCATGACTACTATGAAGAAATGTTAATGCACATGAGAAACTTGATGTAAATACTAGAAAAATGCCTTCATGTTTTTCCCTCCATGTGAGGATATTTGGATGGCAATATATTGGACACAGAAAATCTAAGACCTTATATTTACCATAAACCATCAGTAAAGTGTCATTTCCTGTCCTCCTGAAACGGTCATCCTTCTCTGTTGTGACAGAGACTTTACACTGGTACTTCCCACTGTCAGCCCACTGGACATTCTTGAGGCGTATGGACTTGTTTAAAGTGTTTGGACTGGTTTCCAGAAGGTTGACACGTCCCATATATTCATCACTGGGGAGCCACAGTCTGCGATTGTCATTGCCGTCCTGTGTGAAGTACCAATACAGAACCGCTGGGGTCACCATTTTCACTTTGTTGGAAAGACTTAGATGACATGGCAGTGTAACATCACGACCCAGAGCAGCGGTAAGGACAGAAGACTGGTGGACTGTGACCTGAGAGAGGGTACCTGAAACATAGGTATAAAAATAAAACAATGACAGGATGTTGGGTAACCATATTAATTTCCTGCCCAAAGAAGCCTTCACAGTATCTTTCTCAGAAATGCTCCATCTCCACCTGTGTTATTCTTTTGAATTGTTTGGTAAGTATTGTGAATATAGCTAAAGGCAGCAACTGGCTGAATGTAAGTAACTGCAACTCAGTCGCTAGAAAAAATGTTTGCATTGTACGTTTCTGCTAACCATGGATACGTGACAGTTGCACACTATATTGTAGCAGATAAGTTGAGACGTGACAATGCTATGGTTAACATGTGGTTAGGTTTTAGCACAAAAAAACGTGGTCATGTTTAGGAAAATATGTTTTAAACAGTGGTTTTGGGGGCACTGTCCCAGCAAATGCAGCAATGTCTCTGTGAAAAACATCCACTTTTTGTGGCACTATTATGGCAGGAAACACAGCAGTCATAAACTATACACAGTCTATTGTATGTTAACATTGGACTATTTTAATTATTGAAGTATTTAGCAACAGGACTTGTGGTAAGTGGGATGTGAAATAACATCTGTACAGATGTGAAGCCCTGACTATATCTGACTGATCTTCAATGAAAGCTGTTGTCTTGTATTTCTTTCCTCTGAAAACATTAACCTAATAGTCAACACAATTTATTAAGCCTGGGTAGTTGAGGGGAAAGATATGTAGATCTCTGCAGCAGAAAACTGATATGATGCTGATGTTCATGACAGTTCATGTTAAATGGAGGTTGAACCATGAACGTAAATTACAGATTGCCTGTAAGGCATTTTAGTAGGTCACTCTGTCATAAGTAGAACAGTTGGAGATTGCAAACTAAATGATATATCAGTCTGGTACATTTTAATAAATCCACATCAGATCTGACCAGATGAGTGTTTCTGTGACTTCCTGTACAGACTGAAGGCTGCGGGAAACTGTCTGACTACACCGCAGCTTTTTGTCACTGCCCCCTGCTGCAGCCACCTGATCTTGTCCACTTTCGAGGTGAGGCGCATTTAAAATGAGCCTATTGTCTTGGTAAAAAAACCAACCGCTTTTTGTGACACTATACCAACAGGAAATGCAGCAATGTCTCATTAAAAAAAAAAAAAAAACTTTTCGTGGCACTATGGGGTGCTAAAAAAACAACTGGTTGGTCTGCAGCTTGACAGGCGTCTCGCTTAAGTGTCATGCCGTCTGCCTTCCTCTCCACCTTCTGATGACAAAGTCCGCTCACATATCATATATTTCACTGTAGAAACGTTGATATGATACATATGAAACTTACAAATATAATGTTATCGTGCCGAGCTGCAAGCAAGGACCTCGATGTTTCTACATGTGAATTTATAGTTTTTATGGGGAATGTGACCAGTTAATGTTCAGCTTAACTGAGAAAACTGTTTGGGATTTCTGATCATTTGACAGCTATAGGATCACTTACATACATAGATTACTGAGGGAATGTTTTTTAACTTGAAGTTTGGGGTTCTGCCATCTTTTCAGAAACTGGACCCAAAAACAAAAAATTCAAATGTAGATGAAGAGATGCACAGCTCAAGTCGAGCAAGAAACTGCGACCAAAACTACGACCAAACCTCCCCAGACATTCTCTCTTTTGGACTCAACTAATTAACATTCAAAGAATGAAGAAGTGAAATTACACTAACAGTAAAAAAAAAAATCCCTCAGTGGTGTGAGTGGGAACTTTTCCAGCTTCGATATAATAGTTTTCTTGTTTTGGGCTAGAAGGAGGATATGTGTACTTCCTATGTTGGCTTTAGCTTTCAGTTGCTGAGGTTCCCAATTCCAAAACGTTGGTGTACAACAGCCAAACACTTACCAAAAACCTGTCAACTTGTCAAGTAAAAGTTTACACATGACAAGTTTAACTTTTAATAGTGTTCGTCCAAAGTTGCTGCATAATAAGATTTTAGAAAAAAAGGTTATCTTAATTTATAATGACGAAAACTCTGTCTGTGGGTGTGTCTGTGTCTGTTCCATGTTTTTCCTCCTCACTGACTTGGTCAATCCATGTGAAATTTGGCACAGTGGTAGAGGGTCATGGGAGGATGTGAATGAAGCAAAATATTACATCAATTGGCCAAAGGGGGGCGCTATAGCAACCAATTGTAATTGCAAACTTTGAATGGGCATATCTCATGCCATGTATGTCGTAGAGACATGAAACTTTGCACAGAGATGCCTCTCCTCATGAGGAACAAATTTGTCTCAAGAACCCATAACTTCCAGTTATATAGATTTTCTGCCATTTTGAATTTTTTGAAAAACACTTAAAATCAATCTCTTCCTAGGAAGTTTGAGCGATCTGCATGAAACTCAGTGAACATAATCTAGGGACCAATATCTAAAGTTCCCTCTTGGCAAAAGTTGGAAAACTTACTAAAACTGAGCTTCTATAAGGCAATGAATATTGCGGAGGGCGTGGCTCATCACATAAAGGTGTATAACATCTCAAGGGTTTCACCAATCACCACGCAACTTTGTAGGCATATGACCACACATAATCTGAGGGGACCCCTCCATTATTGACCCCATCAAACAAAATGGGGGCGCTAGAGAGCTAATTTCTTATCTAGGCCTAACCGCCATATGGATTTTTACTAAACTTGGTAGATATGTAGAACAGGACGCCTCAAGGTGACTGGAGAAATTTAACTCTAATTGGCAACTGGGTGGCGCTATAACAACAGAAAATTGCTTCAAAATGGCAAAAATGCGACCGATTGCTGTGGCTCCCCCTGTGGACCAATGTTGTTGTTTGTTTTTCTAATTTTTGGTATGACTAAGTCGTGGTATGGTATGCTGTACATAATCATGGAAACTGTCAGTGTGTCATTCTGTCTGTCCCACGTTTTTCTACTCACTGACGTGGTCAATCTATGTGAAACTGTGCATAGGCATTGAGGATTGGCATAGGTAGAAGGTGACAAAGCTACCAATGGGTATGGACTAGTAAAGCTTTATCAAGGAAGACAAAACCTTTGAGTATAAAAGAATGATACAAAGAGAATGTGAAGGCCTGATGCATAGTTTCATATGTAGTGGTAATAATTAAATTATCTCGGGCATCACATAACCACATAACCGCCATGTTCTTAAATTGATTCCTCCCCCCCTGTTTACTGTCTGCCTTGAAACTTATAAAGAAATATTTCACTGCTGGACAGATGTTCTTTTCATAAACTGGGCCCTCTGTGCAGTAGAAATGAGCACATTATTTTGTGAGGTGCTATATGACAAGAGAAAACAGAGGAAAAAGGTTTTGGCATTCGCTTTTTCTCAAGAGGTAGAAAACCCATAACTACCAGAATGCACTGTGCCGCATCAGACCAGTAAACACTCCTGCTGGTGGTTGATGTAATGTGAGCTTGGTCAATTTTCAACCAGAAACAATATGGTGGACAGCTGAGGTGAGAAATGGACAATGCAGTAACAGAATCTTGGTTCGTATTTGATTAGCACTGCCTAATTTTACCGCCTTTGATTTTACAACACAGAGGAAACAGTATGCCATCTCCTTCTTGTTCACAAATTCTCGAATTGCAGCCAAACAGCATACTCTAAAATATGTTTCAAAGAAATTGTATGCAAGAAGTGGGCAATACAGTAACAGAATCATGTTTTATATTTGATCAGCACTGACTAGTTACACTGTTTAATCGGAGCTTGATCTGTGTTCAGGGGGTGGGGGCAGCTCTCTCCCTCATCTCTCGTTCTGCTTCCATACTCTTTGTGCCCATGGTAGTGGGCATACAGCAATGCAGAAGTACAATCTGTCGTTTGAGCAACAGCCCAGGAGCCCAGTGGATTTGAGCTGGGAGATGAGTAGGGAGATCTGGGTGCTGATAGGATGGAGGGAAGTTTCAGCTCAGATAGCCTTTAATCCCTTTAATCACAAAGTGCAAAACATAAATTTTAGATCAAATTTATTTTGCTACCCACACGCTTTGTAGACTTTCACCACAAGTCAAAAGATATCACAAAAAAGTCCAGAGATGGAGAAGAATTTAGTTTGGTAAAAATGGTTCAACCAAGGTTAATGTTGGCCCATAGATTTTTGTTATATCCACACTTCTGTTATCACATCTGAACAAAAAAGAGTTATAACAGAAATAATTTTAACACACTGCCTTGAGTCTCTTACATCCACTGATGTTCTTACATTTGGGCTTCTCACTCCTTGGATTCATCATATGCAGAACTAAAACAAGTTGTTAGAGTCGAATCTGTCTTCTTCATCTAACCTAAAGCTTGTTGTTGTTCTTGTTCCATATTTCTAAAAAACAACACTAGAGAGTTCATATTAACACACTTGTGTCAAGACCACAATAAAGACACCAATTTTTAAAAAAAAAGATACCTGAAAGACACTCAATCACTTAGACAACAGTCAGATTTGAGAACTAAACTGAAATTGTCTGCAAATGAGCCTGCAAAGCATTTATGATCAAACACACTGTTTTGAACTGCAAAATGAGTAAATTCCCTTGAATTCTTTAACAGCTTAGGATCTCCATCACAAATACACGCACATTTTTCATCTGCAAATCAAATATCTTTATAAATTGTACCTGAGACCATAATGTAGAGAAACATCTGTTGTGTCAGTCCCCATTTCATCACTGTGAAGCTGTGATGCATCTCAGACAAAATTATCTTTGACATGTCTCTCCTGAAAGACCAAGTTAATTTCCTGTGCATGCAAAATTTAAGTACACGCAGGCAAGTGACACACCACTTCCTCAGAGGCTGGGTTTAAATACCAATCTACTGAGGCTTTTAAAATGTAAACAAATGTAACGTGCAGGTTTACATTCTCAGCAGGGAGTCTGATGGTATTTCTTAACTTCTGCAAAGAATTCAAGATTTTTTTAATCAAATGCAGTAAATGTATTCTCAAAAATCACAGTATGGGATTGAAACTGAAAACACAGTAACAGGATGTGGTTCTTTGGTTTTGAAACAGAACAGGACATTTTACACATCTTTTGTTTTATAAAATTGTACAATAACAAAACAGTCTCCATACTTCTGCTCCTACTCTCCTACTACTTCTGGAGCTTTCTACTCTATCACATAGTCTTCATGAGCAGATGAAGTTTGTGTATCTGTCATATGAAATTCTCCATCATATGATGTCTTAAAATTTGAGCTTGATAGTTCATTTTTGATCTTGAAAACAACAGTCAGCCAAAAGAATCTCCACCAAAGTTCCACTTACTTGCTTTTTCGGGAGCTTCTGACTTTATTGCAAGCAAATAGGTGGAGATTGCTGTGTCGACTGTTGTTTACAAATCAAGAATTATCTCTTGAGCTCATTTTTTTCAGGCCAATGTGAAGAGGTGTAGATTTTTCAGTCTGCTGCTGTTTCAAGGTCAAGAATAGATTTTCAAGGTGAACTGGAGGGAATAACAATTTCCCAGCATGCAGGGCAATAAAGGGTCTATCAACTGCTAGACGTAAAGTCTGATGCACTGCTGACAGACAATGATGCGCTTTTTCCATGTGATCTCCCACACTAGAAAATATGAATATATGGTTCTAGTGTAATCATCTGTTCTTAATACGTATCAATTGATTTTCAGTTATGCCTTGAATGGAAAACAAGGTGGAGGATGTGCAGTAAGACATTACATTGCAGAGGTGTGAAGAGCCCCCTGGCTCTGCAACAGGATATACATAATACGTTTTTGCACATCCGCTTGCACTCTTAGGACATGCTGGGTCTGTGTCACACCTGCCTGTGGTGAAGTTGAACACTCTAGATTCAACCAAGTCACCAGAATAAACGTTAGCATTTTACATTTTTGCAAACCACAGATACGTTACATTTGTATGTTATAATAGCAGATATGTTAAAATGAAGGTCACAGTGTTGTAACCCTGGTTCTGTTAGCGCAGATGGAACCCTCTTCTGGACTCTTTGGGTAATACTCTCCTTTAATCACAAGCACGCCTTCGCTCACTGAAGTTTGCATAATCGTAGCTGGACAATCAGGACAGACCTACCTGATTATGTGTGTAGCCCACAGTATATAAAGGAGACGTACGACAACATCAGCATCCACCACTCTTCAACGAGCAGTTTAGGAGCAACAGGGCTCCTAGGTAGCCTGCCCACTCCTTTATAACCTAAACCCATCAGCCAAAAGATTAAAACCACTGACAGATAAAGTAATCAGTGTAGGCCACTGCAGCAGGGAATAGTATGCAGCCAAACTGGGTGAAGCTATGGCCTAACCTTGCAGGGGTCGAAAGACAAGCAACAGACTTCCTGCACACCATATTTCCTGGGTCATCAAAGAGCACATAAACATGTAGGTGTGTCATACGTAGAGGAGAGTCATATATATTGTCGGCTCTGTAAGTGTTCGGATAGGCATTACTTGATTGGCTGGCTATGTATGCAGATTTCAGTGGGTGAATCCGTGCTTGTGATTGTGGAGGAGAATATTACCCTTTACCCAGTAAAGGGTGGAGCCTGTGTGAAATAGAACTCTCTCTTTCTTTAGGTTCCAACAACGCTGTCGTTAATGTGACATTAGGATTTTGGCACAAACCCATTGGTTATGGTTAGGACAAGATCATGATCTGGCTTAGAATACCTGCTTAAAAATCCTCAGTTTCTGTGACCTAAAACTCAGTTTGCATAGGTGAGAGGCCAAAACATAAAGAAAAATATCTGTTCACAAAAATATCTGTGAACATGTAGCTGAGGAGCAGAGGTGTATAGTAACGAAGTAGATGTACTTCGTTACACTACTTAAGTAGTTTTTTTGAGGATTTGTACTTTACTTGAGTTTTTTTTTTAGTCAAGACTTTTACTTTTACTTTACTACATTTAAAAGTTAAAAAAATATACTTTTACTTCTTTACTTTGACATTTGCCATCTCGTTACTCGTTACAAATTAAAATAATCAAAGAGATATCTGGAATGCGCGGGTCCGAGAGGACGAGAAGAATCACATACGGTACTCTCGCGAAGATTAAGATGAAGGGCGGGATGCGCGGGGCGGCAGAGATCTGTAGCACTGTAAACATGGCAGCCGCAGAACATGTCGACAACGAGGGGGAGACAGAAGACGGTACAGCTTCGGCAGAAGACGACGGTCACCCGTGGTCATACCTGGCAACAATGTTCAGCTACCTCGGGATGGGGGTAAATCCCAAAACCTACTGAATGAAGTGCATGTTGTGCCTTCCAAAGTGCCACGAGATAAAGGCGTTTAACAACTCTCCATCCAACCTTAAGAAACACATTGAGGTAAGTGAATTAAGTAAGTTAATCGCTGCCAATGTCATGTCATGTGGCAGGAGGAGTATAAATATTAGTGCTGGGCCGTTAACGAGCGTTAACGACGCCGTTACCGATGGCCGGTAACGGTGTTACCGACGGTCGTTAACGGCCCAGTACTAATAAATATGTGCTAATAGTTTTACATAGTTTTAGCCAACATTTTGGCCTTTTCGTTAGCCAACATTACGTGCTAGTAAGAAGCAAGTTGCTAACGCTATGTGCTAATAACATAAGCAACTTGCCTGTAGATAATATCTTGCGGAAAATTGTTCTGCAGCAGTGTCAATAAAACAAGGTTAGCATCTTAACTTACTCAAACGAGGCAGTTTTCCTCCTGCATGATACATTTTTAATATCAAGTGCTTCACCTTTTTATGAAAAATACACAATCAAATCATACAAGATCAGTAACTTGAAGTTAAGCATTGGGTTATTGTTTGTTGTTGTGTGTTCATAGGAGCTGTAGTAAAATAGCATGCCGTTCAATAAAATGGCTTTGTTTTTGTTTTTTAAATTGTATTTGCTGTACAGCAATTAGATGTCCAAGCTCAGTGTGCTGTATTATGTTTTAGCTTTAAACAATTTGGTATTTTTGAAAGATAAAATATAGTTGACAGTTGACCAACATTTTTTTTTATCAATGTTGGACATGCCCACAAATGGGACACCAGGGTGAAAGTGGTTAGAACAATCCAGACCTATCATTGTGGTAACTGTTGAATGATGTCTTGAGTATCATTTAAACTAATATTGTTATTTCTTTTACTTTTGTGTTTTTCATGTAGAGAGCACATCCACACCATCTCAAAAAATATGAGCAGCTGACTTCACAGAAAAGAAAGAGGGCTTCGGAAGCTGGGACCTCCACCATCAAACAGACCACCTTGCTGGATACCCGATCCATATCTCAGAGTGCAGTTGACAGGGCCGTTGTTCAGTATGTTGTCAACGGGCTCCAGCCATTGTCAACTGTTGAAAATGAAGCCTTCAGAGAGCTTCTCACAGATCTCCTTCCTACTGCCAAAGTCATCACACGGGTCACCCTGAGATCAAGGATTGAAGATTTAGCAAAGACTATGAAAAACGTGTTAACTGAGGAGATGAGTAAAGTGGATCACATCGCCACCACTACAGACTGCTGGTCAGTTAGGAGAAGGAGCTTCCTTGGTGTGACTGCCCACTGGGTGAACCCTACAGACCTAACTAGACGATCAGCAGCCCTAGCTTGCAGACAGCTAAGAGGTTCCCACACCTTTGATGTTTTGGCCACCGCACTCAATGACATCCATTCTGAATATGGCATCAGGAACAAAGTTGTGAGGACAACAACCGATAATGGCTCCAACTTCCTGAAGGCTTTTCAAATTTTTAGTGTGGACAAAAACAATAATGAAGCAGAAGAGGAAGAGAAAGAGGATGAGGAAGGGAATGAGATGGAGGAGGGAGTGGAATTTGTTGACGTGACTTCGGTCCTAGATGAGAATGATGGCTTTGAGTTTGAGCTTCCAAAACATCAACGATGTGCTTGTCATCTCCTCAACTTAGTGTCTACACAGTTGATGCTGAAAAAGCAACAGCCAACGATGGATACAAAAAACTGCAACGCTCAACATTCAGCAAGTGGAATAAGTGTGGAAGATCCTGCCAAGCAGCTGAAGCTGTGGAAGATGCCTGCTCCCTCCAGCTGCTACAACCAAACGCCACTAGGTGGAACTCCATGTTTATGGCTGTGGAAAGGCTCCTCAAGATTCTGAGAGAGAAGGGAGAGCCAGCTTTGAGAGAGATCTGTGTAGAACTGAAGGTTCCAATGTAAGTTTGAATTATGTATTTATCTATTTTTTTTATTTTTGGGTACAATATTCATGCATAATTGTGAAACAGTGGTTTGTTTTCTCCCTAACAGGTTCCATCCAGTTGAGCTCACTTTCCTCAAAGAGTACTACACCACCATGAGCCCTGTCGCCCAGTCCATTAACATCCTCCAAGGAGAAGTGGAAGTCCAGATGGGATGGCTTCTTCCGACTATTTCCCTGCTGAGCAGCAAACTGGAAAAAATAAAGATTGCACTGAAGCACTGCAAGCCGTCGGTTGAAGCCATTCAAGTGGGCATCCAGAACCGTTTTGGTGAAATGTTAAGAGACCCTGAATTGGTTGCTGCAGCGATTCTCATCCCAAAATTCAAAACGGCCTGGATCCAAGATGATGCTACACTGAAAATTGGTAAGACAACATGGAGAAAATATTCATTAAATTACAAATTTAATGTACGTTTACTACATTTATGTTATTTTATTACTCATCGAATAGAAGTTGAGCCAATATCTAAGATGT